CCCCAAAACCCCAAAACCCCAAAACCCCATAGAGCTAAATAATAAGATCTAGATCAGTAATTGTTAGAATAAGTCTATATTTAAATCCTAATTAAACCTAATCTATTACTATTATAATCGAATTCACTTAAAATTACTTATTAATTAGAAATAGTATAATCATCTTCAAATGCAAGAACTTTTACAATATGAATAGAATATCCAAAGCAGAGTCCTCCAATTAACTAGCAGATAAAACAGAGAAAGAGATAAAGCAGCTCCAGCATAAACAGTCTCCACACCGGCAACTGCCAGCACATCTGAAATTACTCTATCACAATCAGCGATAACTGATTCAGGCTCGAATGCTCTACCCATAGTTATTTCGGTATGTGTGTCAGTATTGCTGATCATAATCATGATCATTTGCTATAAATTATATCAGAGGCACAAATCAAGATTACTCCTGAACAGAGTTCTAAAAGCTGATATTGAATAGCAAGAGCGAGGAAGAAGAAGATAAGGATCAGATCAAGATAGAAGCAATCAAAATCAGTCTAGATCAGCTTCATCATAATCAAGAGATAATAATAGCAGATAAAGAAGACATAACAACAATTTGAACATACTCAGATAATCCTAGGGATTAGATAACATTCCAGCTCTAGTCATACAAGAATTAATGAATGCTCAAAGTGCAAACATCGCTCCTATTAATGATGAAGCATCTAACTCTTAACCAATGTATAAACTTAATGACTTACTCTTTAATCATACAATCCAGGATAAATTTAATAAAAAACTAACTCAATATGGAGAAACTAGTTGCGTAATTTGTTTTGATGATTTTACCACTGATATTACTACGATTAGAAAGGTAAATAGATGTGGACACGTTTTCCACAACTACTGCCTTGAAAATTGGTTTAGAGTGCATCTTACCGATACTAGATGCCCATTATGCAACTTAGATATTTAAGGAAAGGACTAAGATAAAAATATCTGAGAAATAAAGTTCAGACTTGAAGAACAACAATTATACAGAGATTTTATAAATATGATTAAGTTTATTTTGAAGTTGAGGAGTCAAAAGACTTTTTGACTTAATATTTTCCTTTTGCTCCTCTCTTTCTGATATCATATATTAATTTATCATTATTTTATTAACTTAATGTTTTTATTATAAGTCTAAAGGGGTTTTGGGGTTTTGGGGTTTTGGGG